TTCCATCAAATTCCTTTATTAGTTGAGTTGATACAGTACATTGTTTTGTACTCGTTTCGGGCTTTGCCCCTCTTCAGTCAACTAGAGTACAATAAATATTATTACAGTAGAGAACTTACATTAAAAACAATGAGTACACAAACGATATATAGACCTACTGTACCTTCGGTTATACTTTATATAATTTAAAATCTTCTAAAATCTGCTTTAATCCTTTTATGGATAAACCGGTATACATTACAATTTAAAAACTTCCATAAACCTTCCTTTTCGGATAGACTTTGACACAATACAACGATAAAAAATTTTTGAGTTGTTTCCGCCCCCTTTTTTCCCTTCCTTTTTTGGCGTTTGCGCTGGTATCTTTAGTGTTACTACGTATGACGTTCGCCACTTTGTGGTCTTGCAGAAATTATTTTTTGAAAAGATTGTTTTTCACAGAAAAAATTTTTTACTTATAGTATATTGAGCCAGATTTCGTTTATTTTAAGACTTAGGTTTTTATTTATATTGTTTTTACTTTATATAATTTTTATGGTTTCTTTAAACTTCCTGTTGTACGTTAATTTATTTGTATGCAGTATTTCTACATTATCTTTGTCCATATTACAGTTTTTTAGAATACAGTGTTCGTAAAATGCAGAATTTATTCTATTGTATTTTAGGTCTGCTATGTGTTCTTTCAATCTAGTTTTTACTTTTCTTTTTGTTTGTCCTATGTAATGTGTTTTGTTTGCGCAGGTACACGGAATTTTATATACTACACCTTGGTTTTCGGTCGGTATTTGCTGGTTTTTCTTCAGGTTCGAGGATAACAGTCTGTTCTCCATTTTTTGATATGATGGTGCTAATTTGTAGTTTATTCTTCCTATTTCTGTGCTGATTTGTTCATATAGGCCTTTAATATACGGGAACTTAATATATTTTGTTTTAGTTGCTTGCTTATTTTTATTTTTACAAAGGTTTCTTGGGTCAGTAAGTCTGATTTCCCATTGTTTCAGCAATCTCTGCGCTAATCCTGCTACAAGAAACTTCTTCCTTAATTCTATTAGATCTTCGTTTATACGTGCTTCTTGGCTTGTCCGGTTTATGATTTTTTCGAGATGATGTTTTAATCTTGTTATTGTAATATCTAGGTAGTTAATGGTTTGTCTTGTCATATCTTCGGTCTCTATTTTAAATTTCATTGCTTTGTGTCTGCTTGTTAATTTTTTCTATATTAATTTCTGTTTTGTCATATATTATTAAGTTGTCGTCAACGTATCTTTTGTAAAATTTTATTCTGGTACGTTACATATTATATTATCGATGTCTATCATAATTAATTCAGCAAGTTTTGGGCCGATCACTGATCCCATACTAATCCCATCTGTCTGAGTATAGTATTATCCATTGGTTTCGAAATAGTTACTTCTGTATGTAACTTCTATTAAGTCTATTATTTCTTTGTTGACGTCTAGGTTATTAAGTTTTTCTTCTATTACATCCCAAGTTATTGATCGGGTACATATCAACTATGTAGAGGCTGGCTATTCTATACTTTTCGTGCACGAATTTCGACCCACTTCCGGAGCTTCACAGGGCTCTCCGCCATTTTTAAAATGTCGCTGTAAAGTAGCGACATTTTAGCTGAGAGCGTTGTACGCTGTTCTTAACATTTGTTCTTAATATAACATTTCATCCGCATTGTATTTCGCGTGACCTCTTGTTCGTTTTGTAAGATCTTTTATACAACGAATTCATAAAATCGATACATAGTTATTGTTTCCCACCTTTTTTTTTGTTTTGTTATTCGCGTTCGCGCTTACAATAATGTGAGTCATTTTACACATTTCCTTTTTTCCCTTTTTTATTTTTACAAATTTCTTTATTTAAATAACGATATTTATATATATATTTTTTTGTTTTAAATATATATATACTGTATATATATAGGCTATATTATTTTACTATTTTTGACAATCATTTATAATTATACGTAGATATACATAAAATCTTACAAAAAAGGCATCTATAGGTTTAACATATATATATAAATTTGTTCTTAGTTTTTTTTGTTTTTTTTTTTGTTTTTTTTTAGTTTACCCGACAAAATAGCGAAATAATAGAGGTGTGCAACTATACTTATCGACGATAATCTGTTCAAAAGGTGGAGAATTCCTCATTTCACATAAGGACGTCGACCCAATGACACAAATATTTACAATATTCTGGCTATATAAGATTTTCTGATGTGAAAAATATATAAATAATGTATATATAAAAGGTGGACAACGTCATATCCGGGGTAAAACGGAACGGCCACAAATAAAGACGTGACGGTTGAGTGGAAACGACAAGAAACATTTTATCTTACACAATTCGCTCTTTGGAGAAGTTAAGTGTACTTTTGAAATCAAAAAATAAAGTTTGAAGCAGTTAGGAGGAGGTGAAAATCGTTTTTAATTAACTTGAGCAACGTATTGGAATTGTAGTCTTCAATCAGTGAACCAATTCCCTTTTGGTCATTGATAGTTTNATAAATCAGTTCGGCCTAGGACAAACTAGTTTAGCCTAAAGTATTTAGGCCAAACTAGATTGTCCTAGGCTAAACTAGTTTATCCTGACACGCGTAGGACAAACTAGTTTGGCCTAGGATAAACTAGTTTGGCCTAAAATCGGGTTTGGCCGGTAACATATATATATATTAACGGTTTGTAAAGAACGATATAGGGAAAACAATGAATAAATCAGGCAAAAATACTGTGCAAGAGACAGGGTGAAAAATAATACAAAGAAAAAAAAAAAAAAAAAGAAAAAATACATGGAGGTAGGAAGAAGTAAGAGGAAATGCGAAAAAATGTTTCGTGGATGGAGAGTGAAAACTTTGCAGGATATTTAATTGTATTATGTGTTGGCTGAGAAAAGAACACGAGCTTTAAAACTATAAGAAATTAACGGTTTGTGAAGAACGATACACGGAAAAATCAGGCAAAAATACTGTGCAAGAGACAGGGTGAAAAATAATACAAAGATACAAAAAAAAAAAAAAAGAAAAAATACATGGAGGTAGGAAGAAGTAAGAGGAAATGCGAAAAAATGTTTCGTGGATGGAGAGTGAAAACTTTGCAGGATATTTAATTGTATTATGTGTTGGCTGAGAAAAACAGAAAAGACTAAAATCAAATAAATGAGAAATACTAAAGTCTCGGATTTCTGTTCGGTCTCTCGATTCAACGGAACGGGAAAAGTGAAATCGTGAAGTACTGTACAGAGAAAATCTCGTTGAGTGTAACATTTTGGGATTATCCAAGCACAGTGTATGTTATTTTATTATATTTAATTACATAAAATACCCCATGTTAGGTGCAGGACAGTACTAGTTCGGTATTTTAAAAGTTAATTAAATCGAAACCTTTAGTACTTCGAAAGCTAACAATAAACAAATGTGTGACTGTTTTTATATTTTCAATATGTTTATCTTCACAACTTATTTTTTGAAAATCTTCAAAGAAGTTATAAAATTCATATTTAAATATGTTTTAAATCCGCACGAAGTTAACAGGTATGGAAATTTAATTATGTAACATATGGTAAGATACAGGGGCGCCGCTAGCAGTTTGAACGCCCGTGTGCAATACCGATTATGCCACCCCCTGTTTAACTACGATTACCTACGCTGAGCTTGCCAGAAAGGCTCTTTAGTGTTGTCTCATAAGGTTGTGAAAAAAGAAAAGAAATACTTTACAAAGAAAAACTATTTATTATTACTAAGTTATTTTTGTTTATTTAACTGTAAAACCATATAAATATTTATCTATAGAAGTTGAACTTCTCTTGCCTTTAGGTTTGCGAAATCTGCTATCAATTTTCATTTATCCAAGCAGTCTAAGATTTCATATTCAATTGAAAATATAGCTAAATTACTTAATCTTTGCTGGTGCGTTGTTGATCTTAAATAGTTTTTTTTTATAATTTTAACTTTAAAAAGGACCCTTCACCAAATGCAACTGAAACCGGCAATGTAAGTAATATTCTTAGTTCTATTGCTGTGTTCGGAAATGTTGAAATTAAGTCATTAGTAAACAGATATTGTAATAAGGTTTGTGGATCATTAGACTTGTTTTCTGGAAAATGCAACTTTAAAGTATTGATTTCATTAAACAAATCAATACCGTCAATGTCTGTTTCACTACATGAATCGCCTTTAAGCTTTAGATTTAAATCCTAACCAAGTTAAAATATCATTAATTATACTTCGACCCATGTCAGAAGAATTATTAACAAAATAATTGCAATTTGATATGCGATAGAACTGTTCGAATGCGTACAAGTACAAATTGAGAAGGATGCTCTGTGGGAATTCCCTAATTTCTCCAGTTTTGTCAACTTCTGTAATAGAGCATGACTATGAGTACTTGGCTTTCGGGCGCGCCGCCAGATGTTTCAACCTGCCTACACACGTTTCGCATTGCATCTTAATTCTGATAAATGCCAACAGAGGCGCTGTTAACGCTATAATATAGGCTAAATAAGAATACTGTATTGTAATTGCGCTCCGGTCGGATTTTTTTCTCTTTGCGAAGACATTTCTTATGCTATAAGTAGGGTGGGTATTGGGACAATGACTTTGAATATTACGTAACCGATCGCTCGATTTGCCGCCCCCTGGACGTGCCGCCCGCGTGAGGTGCACGCCTTGCACGCCCGATTACGGCGGGCCTGGTAAGATAATGCGCTAAGTTACGTGACCCGCGTAACCAAACACTATATGCGCCTCACCAGTTTAAATACAGTAAATTCTTACTTATTCTAATTATTACAAATCTTGTAAAATATGTAAAATTCTTCATTTGTTTAAAAGTGTCCACATAAAAAGAAAATAAAGAATTGAAAAACTCGTTAATTAAGGAAATTTTCGTCGCTACGAACATTTTAAAATTATTCTTTGAAATTCTTTAAATACGAAATTAATTTGTGTAAATTGTAAAATTAACGGAAGTACGCATTACTCTCGTTTTTGCAGTGTCAAGTTACTTTATTCTTGGAAACAAGAATATACATTTATTTTAATTCCATTTCTTGAAATTTATAGCAAAATATAACCTCGTGTGTCGATACTAGTAATTCCAAATAAATGTCGTAGAGTCCCTGAAAATTCCAAGAAAACTACATAAAAATATATTCGGAACATTAGAAATACTCGTTGGAAGTTAATTGTATTCGTGACTTACCGGTGGAAGAAGTTTGGGTATAGTGAGGCAGCCGTCTATTGGTCCCGCTTCAACATAAGGAGGCTTGTTTGAATTTGTCATAAACTTACCAAAATCAGATGGATCTTTGATGCAAAAGTATTTGGTATTTTTATCACCCATACATTTCTTCATCATTTCGAAAGCCTGCGACATAGATATTGTCCTGAAAAGTCATTTTTAATCTTCTATAGAGAAAATATACATGAAGTAATTTTTATAAAAACTTTCTAGTCGTTATAACTTAGTAATTTGATATAATTTTATTATCTTTATATTTATATTTTATTATTATTATTTTTTCGTTGAAGGTCTCACAGCACTTTCGGTTACAAAATAAAGACTTTATTGCATAAATTGAACGTAGGCTACAAATGCATTTCGGATTGTTGTAAATATACAACCCCTCTTCAGTGCCGACTATCAAGCACTTATATGTTTCAAAGAGAAACGACATATAAAGTTTCCATTTTCACAATTTGTCTTTTTATGAATATACATTAAAAAATCCATTATATCGTATAAAATATAATGTACATTTATGGAAAATACAAACTGTGAAAATGAAATCTTTTTATGTCGTTTTTCTTTAAAATATATAAGTGCTTGTTGTAAACGTTTTTTTTCACAATATATAAGTAATGTCGGGATCTTAATTATAATGTTGTTCTTTTTTAGCGGCACTGAAGAGGGGTTCCATATTTACAACAATCCGAAATGCATTTGTAGCCTACGTTCAATTTATGCAATGAAGTCTTTATTTTGTAACCGGAAGTGCTGTGAGACCTTTAACGAATAAAAATTTTTGGATTAAAGTGACTATATATATATATACAGTCGACCCCCTATAACACGGTACATATATTTCCGTTTTTTATGAAATTGATGTTTTAGGAGACCTTGCCAATAACAGCCCGACACGTGTGCAGTTTACGGACTACAGCTGTTTGAAAGGTTTTCTTCCATAAAATTAATCGATTCCACACTAATTCGACTCAACATTTCCAAAACACGTATATTTTTTCGAAAATAATCCGTATAAATTACGCTATAAACAAAAAATTGTAGGATTACTTACCGAGTGTGCACCGTTCGACATCGCCATTGCTTAAGCTTGTTTTCGTAGCGGAGCGGCGCACCAAACGGCGGGCGCGATTTCTGGTAAGTTATTTTTCTGCAAAAACTACGTTGAACTTTGGAGACATCATTAATATAAGTAATTTTAATGGCCGTTGAATAAGAAATGTTTCTTTCACAAGAAATGTATAAAATTACAGTGCTGTATTAGACTTACGGTACCGAATTTTCATACTGTACAGACGATACTAAACTCAACTTACTCGCTTAAACTCTGCGTAGCGTGGCGCTGGACGGCAGAAAGTATATATATAATTATAATAAAGTTACAATAAATTAAGTTAATATATAATTATATATACAATACGTAATTAACATATAATTTATATATAATACTGTACAGACGATAGTAACTCAATTTACCCGCCTATACTCTCTGTAGCGTGGCGCTGGACGGCGAAAAGTAGTTCGGCTGTCCGATGACGTTTTACCGAATTATAGGAGTTTTTTTTACCATGTTTGTACGGCTACTATTGCAATTTTTCGCCGTCATATAGGAATCCGAACTATAGGAACCCGTGTTATAAGGGAGTCGACTGTATATATATATATATATAATCATATATATATATTTGAATATACAGCATTCATATTACATAAAGAACATAAGAATGCGATAAGAAAATTACTCTTAATTTAAAATATCTTAAATTGAATTCGGTATACATACAGGTTCTTATCGCATTTGCTCTTGTCTTCGCCGGATTTTACCGCAGTTAAAAGAAATAAAGCACTGCACGGCACCTCTTTTAGAAAATTCACAGTTCCCCAAATAGTAAATGGCTCTTTACTATTGATTGGATATGGTTCAATCCTTTCGATAGAATATTCTAATTGTCGTTTGTTTTCATCGTCTACGAAAGATCCAAAAAGTTACCAACGAGTCGCGGTAAATTAAAAATCACCAAACACTTTAAAATTCGATTCGTATTTCATAGTTAAAAGATAATTCAGATCATTAAAAACATTCATTTTAAATATTTTATCAATTTTTTTATTTTTTAATGGTTAATCAAATAATATATTTTACCAATAAGTACGGGTGCCAAATGTTTTCCTAGATTAATGAAATATTACGAAACAGTGAAAAACTGCACGAATATTATGATAGAACGAAGACAAAGAGTTTTTCGTATTCCAATAAAGCCAAAATTCTATTGTCTTGGAAAAAGGTTAAAATAATTTAATTAATAATAGGAANAAAGGTAATTCAGATCATAAAAACATTAATTTAAAATATTTTATCGATTTTCCATTTTTTAATGGTTAATCAAATAATATATTTTACCAATAAGTACGGGTGCCAAATGTTTTCCTAGATTAATGAAATATTACGAAACAGTGAAAAACTGCACGAATATTATGATAGAACCAAGACAAAGAGTTTTTCGTATTCCAATAAAGCCAAAATTCTATTGTCTTGGAAAAAGGTTAAAATAATTTAATTAATAATAGGAAATTCAAAAACGCACTCACCGCAATACGATAATTCGTAACACTTTACCCACGATAATTGGGTTAGCATAAGAAAGACGTTCAAGGCGTACGACATATTTGCTACCTTATAATAATTCTGTCGGGAATAAGATACATTTATACCTATAACTCAGTTTCTATTGGCCGATTATTTATAGGGAGACTGTTTGCCGAACAACAGCTGCTTGTCGACGAAATATGCAAGTAAAGTTACACTTTTTCATTGTCGTGTTAATAATAATGAATTTTAATTTAATTTTCATACTCTGTGAAAAATACAAAGACGAATATTTTAGCTTAATTAATTAATTAAAATTAATTAAGTATATTTTAATTAAAATAAATGAACGAAAAAATAAAAAAATAACGTCAACATTTTACTTTCTTACGTTAATGCTTGTCACGTATAATTCAAATTCAGGAAGTCGACATCAGCACTCGAATTTATTCAGCTGTAAAAATTTCTGCCGGAAGATTCAATTCAAAGAAATTTCTAATCTCTATGGATATTATTTAAATATTATTAAATACTATACAAAATTTTTAGTCGTTTTGTCTCCGAGATTTGTGTAGTTCGTTACTGGCGTCATAAGTGTTCATCAATATTTGTAATCAAGCAAAGCGATGTTCTTTCTTCTCGTACGGAGTTTTGAATTCTATAAACTGCAAACTATTTAAATTAATTTTAACCGACTGACCAGGTTAGACTTTTTAGTGTAGCAGTTAATAAATAAATTGTGTTGACTCTTTGAAAGCGAGAAACAAACACATGAAGTGTACCATTGGTTATTCTGTGTAGCCAAACTCAAAACGGGTTCGACTATGTAAATATTTAGTAACAATCGAATCGAAAATTCACGGGTTGGAAACTTTGAAACAAATAATTTACTCAGTTTTAACGATTTAATTTGTTTCTTGCGCACACAACTGCTAGAAAGCAGAAAATAACACTGGTCTGCAAAACAATTTTTTTCAGCTGCATGCAATATTTTTGCTGAATTATATGTTTTAAAGATCGTAGAATCTAAAAATAACTTCCGTTACATCTCGTCACGTAAAGGTTTTTTGCAAAATAAACACAAAATTTTTATAAAAATTCTTATTTATTACAATGAACTAAATATGTTATATTTTCTTACAACAAACAAACAAATTGTTTTTCATATTTATACACAATTTTAGGTCTACTCTTTTTTAATGAAATTTTTACTTATTCTTTTTGATGCTTCTCCAAACTCGTTTCCGCTTTCTTTCTCTGGTTTCTCAATTGAGCATTCAACAGTAGTCAGATAACATATTGACATCCCATTTTCCTTGGTAACGTCTCTGGATATCACGGACATCCTGGTGAAATCTTTCACAATGTTCTTCATTGTAGGCTCAAAGTTTTCGGGAAAATAGTGAATATCGGAGTGTAAGAGATGAACTTTTAAGCTCATTTTGCATCCTTGAGTTTCATACGCTGCTGCCAGCATGTGTTGTACAATGGTTTTGTAATCAGGGTCCTTAGTATTTTCCAAAAATTTATGCACTACATTGTTGAAAGAGTCCAATGCTTCTTTTTCCTTTTCTCCCGTTGTTTCCAAAAATCTGCTTTGTCTCGATCTCCAAGTTTCAATTTGAAATACGCAAATTAATCTTTCTTCACAAACTTACTTATGTTTCTTTGTTGACTTTTCACTGCGTATTCACCACAAACTTAACAAAAGTTGTCGGTAGAAATTACACCCTCTGCGAGCCATATTCCAAAAATAAAAACACAAACACAGTAGCGTTCGAATGCTGGATATAAACTGAGTGTGGCATTAGATGGCCAGCAAGATACTGAACTTATTTAGCTTGTTGAAACATGATCTAATCTAACAGCAGGTTGTTTATATTTATTCCTAGTATTTCGGATAACATGTCAAAACATGCTCAACTTCACCAATAATATTACTCACTATCAACTTTTAACCTGGGCCGTGTTCAGTAACGCAGAATTCTTGCTAAGTCTAGTTATGCTGCAATGTTGAACTGGTTTCTAACTACTGCTTGACTCCTCCCACCGATAGAATTCTTGGTAGTTCGGTCAGGGCCGTCTTACTAAGTCCAATTGTGCTGAGTTAAACCCGTTTCTAATTACTGCTTGACTCCTCCCACCGCTAGAATTCTTGCTAGTTCAGTCAGCTTCTTTTATCTACGCTAACTTCTGCTAGCGACGTTATTGCTTTTGTCTCATACGATTTACAAGATGGCTGCTCGTGTTGGTCAAAACATATTTTATTATAACAATCATAAAATTGTTATAATAATGAGTGAACAAGAGGCTAACAGTTTTAATGGTAAGATATTAACTTTTCTTTGTTTTTTTATAACTTCCACAATAATTTATTTCAAACATTTAATGGATGTAATTACTGTTAATTTAAGTAAATTAATTCTCTGTTAATAAGAACGACTTTCACAGATTCTAGTTTATTTTTATTATAAAATAGTTAATTTGAAGACAACTAGTACCTTTTATAATTAATTAAGTCTCACTATTTACTTTATTCTAGATTATAGTGTAATAGAANTATTAAATTAGAATTACTGTTTAATAACAAAATCATTTTAAAAGTTCCTGTGAACCGCCTGGGATATCATAGGTCTCCCGTTCTGGCAACAGGTCGTTAAACCTGCTCACTTGTCAAGATGGCTAAATTTCCTATTACTGGTCCCGAGGGTTGAGACTCAAATGTCAGGCGAGTGGAGGGAGAGTATTTGGGGTCGACGATAAGGTGAAGGCCGTAAAGGAGTAAAGGAGTCTACCATTTAACAAGTAAAAATAAGAATTTATTAGAATAATCAAAATGGACAAAACTACTACACAAATCTCGACGTTAAACCGCCTAACAGCTCGAGAGAGAGTTTACACGCTTTTTCATACCTTTTTGTATGGTTTCTAGACGAGTAAGTCCATGTAGGCACATAAATGTCCAAGGAAAGATGGTTTTAATCCAAATGAGAACAAATATAAAAAGTTCGCAACTCTGGCGATGATCGGATATTGATGTTCGTAGATCAGAATTTCGGCGGATTCGGAGAATCGACTCGATGTCGTTGGTCCGGCTTTCATTAAGAGACTCCCCCGAGACAGGGTAAGAACTGTCTTTTATAGCCTTTTGTGGGGAATTTCCATCACGTGATCGGATGTTAATGAGTAAAAGGTTATAGGTGTTCCAGGGACCTAAAACAAGTGATGAAATTTGGATGCTAACTGTAAACTTTTGTGCAAGACGAGCTGCAAGTTATGCGAGAACAATGGAATGTTAATAGTTAGGACAGGAAGGTTTATACATTCCCTGCTAATATCGTTTTTTTTTTTTTTTTCTTTCAATTCGTTACATAAATGAAAGTGAACTAATTAAAATTTTAGTTAATTAAATTCCAGATCTCACATTCTTAAAAATATAATAATTGAATTCGGAAACGAATTAAAATATAAATAATGTATCTTAACAAAACTTACAATTTTGTTTCTTTATAGACAATACTTAACTGCTAATTGATTGAGAAAATTTTTCATTTTCACCATTAGAAGAAAATAATATTCATCATTTAAGAAATTATATTGACTGGGATATCATCAGTCGACGAAACGATTTATCTCTCACGTTCATTTCTGAATTCGCTGATAAGTTAAATTGGGAAATCGTATTGAAAAACTATATATTCGCTACTTCATTTATTGAAAAACATATTAAATATGCAAAATGGGATTTAATTTGCGAATATCAGGTGTTACACGAATCATTCTTAACCAACTTTTCACAATATCTCGATTGGAATAAAGTCGCCGAATTTCAAATCCTTTTAGATAATTTTATTAGGGTTATTAGGGAACTTATTAAACATACATAAGTTCGATATTAAAAAAATTCTAAAATACCAACGATTAAAAACTATGACTTTACGCACATTAAGTTTTTTTTAGTTTTCTCATTTACTTTATCTATAACATGGCACATTTCCGCTAATAAGTGGAGTAATAAATTCTGGTGATTGTTTACAATATATTCCCGATCTATTTTCTGATATTTTAAAATGTAACACCATGAAAGTTCATTTTAGAAGTCATCAATAAATTGCTGGTCAAGTATTTGGTAATGAAAAACATAATTCCAGTTTAGATAATTTTTTAAATATAATAAACTAATTTAATCTATTAATGTAAAAATAAAAAAAAAAATTCAAAAATAATTTTGTTTTGGTGTTATATTATTTCATACAATTGTGTTTCAATTTTCTCGGATATAAAAACATGTAATAATTTATACAGGAACTTTGCCTTATTGTTAAAATTAAATTAATTTAATTAAAATTTTTGTCCGAAAAATTAATTTTGTGATCTGAAATAATTACATTCAACAAACTTTTATTTGCAATCTTAATTAAATTATAAAATTATTATGTAATTTTAATTTAATCGACATCTGAAATTAATTTTGTGGTCAGTATGGCCCAAACCACTACTACTACTTCTGTGTTGTGTGGTGGCGAAAGGAGAGATTAATTTAAAGTGCGAATAGTATTGCAGTAAATGAGAATGAACGTATCAAACTCATTAGTAACAGGTCAAATAGCTGTCACTCGTCTGCAATGACGCCTGTGCGCGTATACCTGAACAAACACACGTTTGCAGAGCTGATTCCATTGTTACGTCAGAGATTTCAAATGCAATATTTAAGAGTTGGCCTATATTTATTGCAATTTATATATTCTGCTTTAAGACTGTACATCAAGCTGTTCCCTAAGCGAAAACTACTTATATATACTTATATATATATATATATACATACAGCTCGTAATTTAGTAACAGAGAAGGCGTTAGACACCCGTTTTGCTTCTTCTCATTAATATAGCGTGAAGCCGAGTTCGTGTGAATTTCTTCCATCCAATATTGATGGGCAAAATGAACTTTTTTTGTAATTCAAATCATTCGATTTAACTCGTTTAGAAAATTTTATCAACCAATAGAATAAATCTGTGTGGTTAGTCGATTAGTGGAAATGCATACGGATTTATTTAAGCTTTTTATAGATTTGGGTGAA